GAGTTCAAACTCACATCTATCTAATTCTGAAACTATAGGTGTTTTTTTTTTATGTTCATACTTTGGTGGGGTCTTTTTGTTCTTATTTTGTTTTTGCTGTTTTTAATTGAAGGAAAAGGTCCCTTTTTTGGAATAGAAGGCCATGCTTTCAGCAATTTAGTTAATAGTTAAATTTTTTAAAATTTTTATTTAAGGAAATTAAAAAAATTTTTGTCTTATTACTCAAGTACTCAAATGATTGGATTCAACCACGAAGTTAGTTATTTTCAACATTTTCAGAGTTGTGACGCACTGTTAGGCTTTAAATTTCATGATATCCGTGCTCTAACTTACCCTTCAGTGCTGTGTGATAGATTCTTAGCAATATTTAAAACAGCTTTGAGAGTTTATGAAACAAAAGTTAGAATACTACAAAATTAGGACTGGGAATTGTTATATGGAGAAAAATTGCCTTTCTTGTGTAAAAGCAATTATTTTGATGTGGAATGAAAAACATCATTTGATTGAGTATACTGTGTAAATACATTTATATAGGTGACACTTATTGAATTCTGCTGTATTCACTGGAGAACATGTGGAAAAATAAGAACATGATTTGATCAGGCAGCAGTCTTCCCCCAAGATGCTCAAAGTATGATTAATCAGCAACTCAGATTTTTTCATTCTTGTCATGAGTTGATCCTATTAGAGTAATGATTTTAAAATTAAAGGAGAGAAAACTTAAGGGGAAAAATAAATATATATGGTTTGACACTCATATAGATTGCAGTAGGAATCTCAGTCAGGCTTTACAGCTAGATCCATGATGCTTTGCCCAGCTCACTGGAGTTAAAACCTTTACTTGTACACCCCAGGATTGTTAGTCTCTTTGGTAATCAGGTGGGACGTAATTTTGTATGGTCTCAATAAAACATTCACATAACGATGTGGTTCCATTCATGCATAGCCAGTTTCCAAATGGCAGGATGTATCACAAAATGAGTAACAGTGATTCTGGGAAGAACATGACTAGTTGCTTCATCTCAAATGATGAAGATCTTGGAGATCTATGCTTCTCAGACGCCAGCCTTCCTCCGGCACCCTTAGGCCAATTTCAAATGTGACTGATTCTTCCTTAGTTCATCTGTATTTCCTGGACCTGCTTTGCACCAGAGAATTTAGATTTATTCATATTGATCTTTTCTTGGTTCAGGTCTCTACATTTGTTTTGGAAAGGGCTTCCTTTCCCTTCCCCCTCATTTTCCTCCTCTTTTGGACTCCAAGACACCCAATCCTGGAGGTCCCTAATGTCCTCTTTTCCAGTCTCCTAAGAAGCCTAGGCAGCAGTTTCTGAGTTGAGATTTGTTTCATAATCCTCTGGGGGGACTTGTAAAAACTATAGGTGTCAGATTTTACTTAATCTGATTGGACTCTTCCAGCTGCAAAAGGTATAATGGAAGAATAGCCAAAAACTATTTATTCATTTATTTGTTCATTCATTCATTCAACAAATATTTTTGAGTGGAGAAGGTTCAGTGTGCCTGGCTGTGTACTAGGTGCTGAAGATTCAGATGTAAATAGAAATGACTTTTGCCTTTAGGAAATTTATAGTGTGGTGGGAATCAAGTGGGAAAGATGAATGAGTAAAGAAAGGTGTTATGGCACAGAAGAGGAGTTTAACTCTGCTCATGAGGCTCAAAAGAACTGGTCATGGACATTAGTTGTTTCAGGAAACACACACACACACACACACACAAAGACTTTTCCTAAGCAGAAACACAAACCTGTGCAAAAGTGTGGAGATATAAGAGAGATCAGTTTGTACTAGGAATTGCAAGTAGTTCCTCGTGTGTGTGGACGGAATGAGAAAATAAGAAGTAAAGGTGGCTGCAAGTGGTAAAGAAAGAATGTAAGAAAATGTCCCAGATTTAAAAGACATGAGTTACAGACAGAGAGATTTCACTGAGTGTCCTACCCATGAATGAAAAAGACTCACCCCTAATCATATGCTATTAATTTCAGGATTCCAGGAATGAAAAGGAAGAGATATGTAAAATGGATTAGTAATGAGAGTAGCATCAGACTGCTCTACAGCCACATTAGAAGCTAGACGACTATGAAGCAATACTTTTGAAATTATAAGTAAAATTATTTCCTACCTAGAATGGCATACCCAGCCAGGCTACCAATCAAGACATTTTAAGACATACACAGTCTCAAAAACAAACACACACACTCATTCTGAGTACTCTATTCAGGTAGCTAATAGCTAATGGGAGATGTGCACCATCAAAACAAGAAAATAAACTAAGAAAGAGAAGCAAGGAGATCCAAGGACAGACATTCCCACAGAGGAAAATGTGAAGGAAATTCTTAGGATGTGGAAATCCCAGTCAAAATCAGGCCTGGAGAGCAACCATTCCAGCCAGATTGAATCGAGATGAAGGGTATAGGAGGGATGTCTCTGAGAAAAAATAGAACCTCCCCCCCACCCCAATGTCTTTACTGAGAGTAGTTTTGCAATTCTTAGGAGAGTTTGAGGTTAATAAGTGTTAGGTGTATAAAAAGCTAAGCAAACAACAAGAAAAAAGAAAAAAGAAAAAGAAAAAAAAAAAGAAAACAGAGCAATTAAGAGAAACAAAGTTATAACTCTAAGAGAAACAAAATTATCTAAAAGAAAAAAAGTCGTTGAATCCTACATAGCACTCCTGGAAATAACATTTACTTTGTTAGACTACTGTCAATGCTGAACATTGACTTAACTCAGTGTTACAATATAGTTGGAAGCTGAGAGGATTTGGAAAGTGTGACATATTTGCATGCAAAAGGTAAAGGGTGGTATATGAGAATTAAATCCTTATCTTCCACGGGGAAAAGTTATTAGATAATATCTAAAATGGAACAATCAAGAAATAGCAATATAAACAATATATTTTTTAGAAATATGGAGGTAAGTACCAGAAGCAAATGCTAAAGGAGTTTAAATTAATTCCCTCTAGAGAGAGAATTGAGTGGGGAAGGAGTGGGGCAGGGGAGTTCTATTTTATTTTTTATACATTGATCTAAATAAAAATGATCAATAAAAATCTAGAACTAGCATCTGTAACACTGAAGGAATCTTGCATGTGGTAGTTTTTAGCTTGCGTATTCTATGTACCTATCTTTGGTGCATTCCTAAATTGTATCTACATTTTTTTTTATGATTAACTGAATATGAATTGAAGCGCAAGTCAGTAGGATAAATTGTTGACTCAAATATGTGTATGGACTGTATTTGGATACTATGGTCCCCCTCTGCCTGCATTTTTATGTAGAGTCTAAGCTCTCTTTTATAAGCTATCTTTTAAACTTTAGAGGATAAAGTCCTCCCTCCTGCCTTCTCTCCAAAGTAGAGCTGAGTTTAACTTTGCATAAGAAATCAGCATTCTTCAATGACCTGATGTTCCTAAAATGGCACTGCTAGTCAGCTGCACATTAAGATCTCTGAGCTATTTACATCACCCAGAAAAGCTTCAAGATGATTATAAAGAAAATTTATCAGTTTATATAGATCCAAACTGCCCCCTTCATCTTTTTATTTTGAAAACAATCAAACCCCACAGAAAAATGAAGAGTGGCAAAATGCCCATATAACGTTCACCTAGATTTGTCAGTTGTTAACATTTTTTGCCATATTTACTTCCTTTCTTTACCATTTTCTGAAGGTGAGGAGTCGAACCATTTTAAATTATTTGGGAGATATACATCTCCCAGTATATCTCCCGAGAACAAAGACATCCTCATACAAAGCCAAAATACCATTATTTGCCATGGATAATTTAATATTATCTAATGTATAGTTAATATTCAGATTTCCCTAAAATCCCAATAATACCTTCTGTAGATTTTTTTTTTTTTTTGATCCAGAATCCAGTTAGTGATCATGCATTGCATTTAGTCATCATAGTTCTTTAAATCCTCCTCATGCTGTTTTTTAAAATAGGTCTTTTATGACATTGACAATTATGAGGAACCCAGGCCAGTTGTTTTGGAGACTGTCCTATATGTATGAATTTGTCTTTTTGCTCCCTCGTTATAAGATTCTGGTTTACAATTTTGGCAAGAATATGTATACAAACATTTTTTATCCACCTACCTTTTATGCTGGTTCAAAAGTTTAGTTCTTTGTTTTCTCGTTTGGGTATTTTCGTTTCATTTTTCCTTTTTAATCTGTGGTCTGGCATGGGGTATGAAGGATGACCACTTACCTGGAGAATAGTAAAACATCTTAGACTGCAGAAAAATACCACTGTAATAATCTCTGGGAAGGGAACTCTGTTCCTCTGGAAACAAACAATATTTTTTAAAACATTCTTGGCAGAGTTCTTTGGATGACTTAATATATTGTAATCAAGGGCAAGTTTTCTACTCTTTAATTAAGTTTCTGCTATAGTATATGGTCCAGGGAGCCACTTCAGAAAACACTTGGCCAGCTTTTCTATCATCCCTAAGCTGAACGTTTGCTTTTGGAATCTAAACACTGAACGTGTGTTCAGCTTGCAGCGTTTGGCTCTCCATGCCATAGGATGCTCAGTTGCTTAGGTTATGTATATTTTGTGAGCACAAGGTGGAGGATGGCGTGCCTCGGATGCCAGAAGAGCTGTGCAAGCTCGCTGTTGAAAGCAATCTTCCCGTTTGTCAGGGCCTCATGATAGGAGACCTGGTGACACAGTAGCCTTTAGGCAGAACTCCTCAGGATGTGCAGGAAGTACTGCTACAGGTTTTGTCAGGGAAGAAATCTGAGCCATTTCTTTGTGGACAGCTGTGTTTCAGAGTCTGGGCAAGTTGCTGTTGAATTTTGCACGGGCTGCCAGGGTAAGTGTTTTCATTTTGATTTGTTTATAGTCTTGGTTTTCTTTCTCCTGAGTCATCAAGGTTCTTTCTGGAAGTTTCATAAGACTCATTACACATTATCTAAAGTGGGATTCAGAGGATTTTTCATATCTGTAATCCAACTTTTCTTTTACTTTCTTTCTGCAGATTTTGTGGAAGTATAATACTTTGTCATTATGCAATGTCGTCTCTCGGTACCTCCTTTGTGCAAATTAAATTTGACGACTTGCAGTTTTTTGAAAACTGCGGTGGAGGAAGTTTCGGGAGTGTTTATCGAGCCAAATGGATATCACAGGACAAGGAGGTGGCTGTGAAGAAGCTACTCAAAATAGAGAAAGAGGTAAGGTCGTTTCCTGCTATCAGAAATGGTCACAATAGCACTTATGTAAGCTTTTCCTCATAGAGTCAGAGGTCACAGGCTGCCAGGGACCTGGCAAGGCCTTGGGGCTGATCCACAAGGCCCTTTCCCAATTTCCATTCCGGCAGCCCCATAAATAGAAATCATTGCTGCATGTGCTTTAGGGTTGAGTTCTACTAGGGGTCATCTGAACTGAGAGGGTTTCTTTCCATGGCATGAAAGACCGAATGTTCTCTGTGCTATCCTTTGAGGGGAGGTAAGATTTCACTTTTCTTTTCCCTTGGTCATCCAACAGGGGTCGGTAAAGAGTAATGTGTCAAGTTCTCTTCCCCTTTCCATTTTTCTGTTCATGAATTTGTGGTCATCAGGAGTTGTCTTTTAAAACATAAAAAGCATTTTCTACTAAAATATAAGCATCACCAGTTTCTTGGATTTCACCTCTACTCGAAGCCAAAAGTGATGGACTTTGTTTAATAAAGAATTAACGGGTGCTAGGCAGAGCTGCCCTACTTGTAAAATCATGATAGGGTGTTGGCTTTCAGGATCTGGAATTTGCACTGGTCCTAGTCAAGCTCAAAATTCATGGCCCTTTGTCTTTCTTTGGAATGTGATACAGCATCACTCCCAAATTCACTTTAGTACCTGGAGAATAAAACTAACTGTGGCACTGACTTGCAGGGGCTCAGTGGCATTGGTAACTTTTAATAGCTACCTTCTAGGGCTTGGTTTGGTCTTTTCTGTTAATGTCCTATTTTGACTAATTATTGTTCTTTTAGTATCTTTTTAAAGTGAACTTTTCCATAAATATATTTTACTCTCCCTGAACATTTCATGGTCCCCCGCCACCCCCTTAATTGATGCCAGTGAGCCATAGCAATTGATCAGAGAAGGAAAACCAAATGGCAGCACTTTGTGGTACGTCCTACCAGCAGTGCTGTGTGATTGGGTGGTCACCGGCTGTGTTTACAGTTGTCAAAGCCAGGCCAGAGGACTAAGATACAACTGCCTTAGGGTATCTATAGGTTGTGGACAGCTTAGGAAGTGATAACTTTTAAAGCCAATGTGCATACAAAACAGAAGGGTACTATATAGAAAAAGTTTTCTCATTTCTTAATTACAAAATGTTTAATAGTAGCCAAATAATAAAACCATTTCTTATTCTGCATTGAATCCAGCTTTTTATCTAGTGAACTCTTAAAGCCTTACTAGGCAAGCACTGTTATCCCCTTTGTATAGATTGGGGGATAGAGCTTTGAGAAATGTTCTGAGCCCAGGAGGGGCAAGAGAAATCCAGGAGATCAGGCCCCTTGTTCTTTATTTTTAAACTCTGAAACTTCTAGTTGACCAAGTAAGAGTAGAAAATAAACTCATTTCATTAATTTTAGTCAAAGAAGTATATGTGTGTTAATATTTTTAAACATTAGGTCATGCAACTTCAGTACAACGAACATGTTTTTATATGATTGTTAGATATGAGACTTTATGAAACGTGAAATAGATTTTGATAGGAAAACAGTAATTGCAACCCACTCCACCCACACTTGTACTTACTACCTTTTTGACTATCTTTGAAAGAGCCAAGAAATGACACAGGAAAGCACAGGAGTGAAAGTGGGAGTTGGAAACTGCCAGATTTTGCTCTGGCATAGGCATTTAACCTGAGTGGGTACCGTTCAGAAACTGAGTTAATTATAGTAAACTGCAGTTACATAACTCATAAACTTGTAAGTAGGGAAAATAAAAACTTCTTTTCCGCTTTGGGGCTTGGTATTGTCAGTGATAAAGAGACATGGTAAATTATCGTAAGGCAATATTGCATCCCTACACTTACTACATCAACAATTCAAGATGTAGAAAATTTTGGCTAGGGGTTGGCAGTTATTGGAAAGGAAATATGCATTTCTCATATAAATTTTTGTTATACTTTATGAACTGTGTATTGGCTTGCTGGCTAGATGTTTTCTAAGTGGTAAGATAAAGGTAATAAGCTCTGGATTTTCTTTTAATTTATAGATGCAGTCCTATGTCACTTGGTCATTTTTGCCAATGAGTTTTAGAAGTAGTGGAACGTTTAATAATATGTTTGTAGCTCACTCATGGAACTCTTTAAGAATGACCTGATGCCTGATTAAATATGTTTTATGAACTTAGTGAAAGATGGAGAAATATATACCAAACTCTTTAACTTTGATTATATGTGAGAGGATAGAGGAAGACTATTTTCACTTTATCTGTAGCTCTCTAGTTTAGTAAGTATGTATTATCTTTTTCTGCTTTAGTGAGTATATATTATTTTTCTAATTTAGAAAAAAATAAAGAAAAATGGCATTTATTTAAAATTTTGGTAGTTCTTTAAAACTTTATTTTAAAAAAACTTTTATGGTTTTTCCAAGGGAAAAATTACAAGAATAATACCATGATTTCTATCATATCCTTTCCCTAGAATCACCACTTACTAACATTTTCTAACATTCACTTTCTCTCTGTACAGTATGTTTTTGATTTATACATATTCATACATATTTTATATTTACTGAACCATGAGAGTAAATTGCAGATGCTGTGCACCTTTATCCCTAAATACTTTAGCATCTTCTAAGTACACAAGCATAATACAGCTATCAAATTCAGAAAATTTAACACTGATACAGTATTACTTATTATATAGTCTATATTCAAATTTTTACCAGTTGTTCCAATAATGGCTTTTTATGGCATTTTTTTCCCAACCCAGGATCCATTCCAGGATCACATATTGCATTCAGTTGATATATCTGTTGAGTTTCCTTTTTTCCATAGTAAAAATACCTATTTTACTTTGGTAATTAATAATTAAGTTGTTGGAAGATACTTTGAGGCTATGTAAATATCTTCCCTCAACAAACATTACCCGATGTTATTACCATCCATTGGTGATTCTTGTTTGAATCAAATATTATGACAGTTACTGCGTAGAAAGCAAAAAGTTCTAACATAAATGAGTCTGCCTTTCTTCTTTTCTTCCTTTTCTCCTTCCTGACTTTCTTTACTTATTTATTCATCCACTTATTCATTTACTTATTGTTTCATTATAGACTTATAGATTCCTTTTCAAATTCAAAATATTACAGTCCATTATTATTGTTTTTCACTTTCATGCTTAAATTGTCCCCAATTTAGCAAGTAAAGGTCCCTTCAAATTGGCTCCTGTGTCCTTTTGATATGTCTTCATCATCATCATTTTTTTAGCATTTCTTTACTTTTTAGCACAAAAAGATTATCTAGTTGCTACCCCATTCCTGGAGTCAGCCATTTTTTTTTAAGATGCCCTAATTCAGGGTACACGATTTGGAAGTATGATATTTAGAATCCAAAGTTTGGATACTAGATTTGTTTACTGTAGACTTTTAAAAAAAAATTAGCCTTTGTTCTTTTGAGAGAAAGAATGGGTATAGATAAATTTTATTTATAGAAGCTTTTAATTTAAAATTAAATATCATACATCTGGATAGCTATGATCTATGATATATGCCTGTTACAAATGTAAATTGGTAAATTTTTAGAGTTTAGCAAAATGTATCAAAAATCTTAAAATATTTACTTCCTTTGAGCTAGAAATTTTATTCTTGAGACTTAGAAAGTAGGAAATATTCAGAAATAGGCAGAAAGATGGATATAATAGGCAGTTCATTTTAGATGTATAATGGTGAAGAACTGGAAACAACCCAAGTGTCCTACAACAAATTATCTTTTAAATCATGGTGCGTGGTACAGACACATATAAAAATAAATATGTGAGGTGATGGATGTGTTAATTCAGTTGTGGGAAACTTTCACAATATATACATACATTAAAATCGTGTTATACACTTAAATATGTTACAGGGTTTTTTTTGTTAACTATACCTCAATAAAGCTGAAAAAAATGAATTCTATTGCATTTGGAAGAATATTTAAAGAGCTAGGAAAATGCTTGTAATATACTCGTAAGTGGTAAAAGCAAGTTAGTTGCAAAATGTTTAATATGATCCTAAGTGTCTGCTTGGTGTCTGTATAGTGCTTTTATCGTGCTTATATTTCCTTTAGTTTTCACATTTTTCTATGATGGTATCATTTCTTTTTCTCCCCAACCTTTTATTATGAAAATTTTCAAAAAGAAAGTTGAAAGGGGGTCTTATAGGGAACAACTGTATATCTACCATCTAGGGCCTGTCATGAACATAAATACTTGCTTTATTGCATATATATCCAGCTATGTAGTCTTTCATCCTTCAGTCCACTTTGATGCATTTCAAAATAAGTTACAGGCATCAGTGTATTTCCCCTTAAATTCCCTTAAGGCATGCATATTCTTAATAGAGTTCATTATGTGTTTACAGTTTTGTTTTTGTTTTGAGGTAAAATTTACATACAAGAAGTGCACATCACTAAGTTTTGACAAATGTAAACACCCTGTGACCCATTTATATTTACTTTTATAATCAGTAAATACTCAAAAATTATACCTCTGGTAATTCGTCACTAAGGATGTTCAAGTGAATTGAGTTTTATAAATCTCTTTAGTATGTCACAAATCACTAATTTTCCAGTCTCAATATGTGCCTCTAAAATGTTTAGTGTTTACTTTTCCATGGCTCTTCATTGCAGCGCCGTAGGATTTTTAGTGGTAATTTGGCTTGTTTATGTTAGTTCTAGATTTACTTACAGTGCACTATTTTTTAAAAGTTTTCAACAGAAAAAATACGATCTAAGGATATATAGGTAAGAAAATAAACCATTATTGTATCTTTTTGGTAAAATCCAGTTAGCTGAGATCAAACCAAACTGCTTAGGCAGAAATCAAAGCAAGGAGTAGAGAGGGAAAAGAATGACATTGTGGATCACAGTTTCCTCTTTCTTGCTACTGCTGACTAAGAGAACAGCAAGCACCTCATCAGCTTCACAAGTGGACTTTTAGAAAGGGTTAATCATGCAGCTTCATTTTACACTTGCAATGTATTTGT